AAAAATTATTTAATATTTTATTACATGAATTTATATTATTTATAAGTAGGTAATGGTGACAAGATATTTATATTATTTATAAGTAGGTAATGGTGACAAGATAACAACGATAATAATAATAATAACAACAACATTAATAATGATGATAGCAAAAATTATGATGATAATATACATAATAATAATATTAGTAACTTTTTTATCTAAATCATTTATTTTAATTTAAACGTTGAGATTTTTTATTTTCATATCAAAATGACATTCTCATATACACATTCTTATATTTTCTCACATAACTTTATTAATATATATATATATATATATATATATAATATTTGATTAACCATATTTATTTATTAACTCTCTCCCCTTCCCCCCCCCCTCTATATATATATAATATAACTGAATGTTACATTAATGTTTCTTTTCAATTTATCTTTTACATATACATATACAATTCTTGTTATCTAATATGCATCTGAATTTTTAAATACGAAAAAAATGTTTTCGTTACATAGTTTTATAAATTTATATTATTGTTTTTCAAATCTAATTTACATTTTGGTATAAATAAGTACTACGATCTATAAGAAAAATAGTATATAAAAAGAAATGCAAGAAAGTTAAAAAAATGAAATAGATAAAAATGATAAAAATAGAGAGAAAAAATTTAAATGTAATAGATAGATAAAAACAAAAAGAAAAGAAACGCTCTCCCTTATTTGGATGAATAAAAAAAATGATAATTTGTGAGAATTAGCAATCATATGCTGATAAATAAAAATATTTTATGTTAGCTATTAGAAGAAATAAATACATGGTATCTTATGATTGCTGCTTTTTATGGAGACCGTATATTACTCTTAATTTTGAATATAAATTTTTTAAAAAAATTACACACTAATAAATTATATTAAAAATAATTTATCTCTAAATTATCATCTTTAAAATTTGATATTAAGAATAAAAATAATGATTAAAAAATATAATTTTAATTAGATAAATAATATTTTAAAAATAGTCATATTTAATAGAGTAAATTTAGTTAAACAGCTACTGTTTCAATGTGAAATCTGAGGCACTCACATTCATTAATAGCTAAACCACTACCTACGGTTTTTCGCGATTCACCTTTTCACACACATTCGTGGCTGAATAATGAATATGTCTATTGCCCTGTCATATACTTGCTACAGTCAGAGGGTGATATACTTCTTCAATACTACTATTTATACACGAGTAAATAATTCATAATATATTAATAATTGTTTTATGGCTATTTTTTATATTAAGTAGATGCCCCGTAATCCTTCTTTTCCCATTCGTTGATCCTTTTTTTTCACCCTTAAACTGATTTCTATGGCTTGTCTATTTCTTTGTATTTTCTGTTCTTCCTATAAAGCTTGTTTGTAATGTTAACCAAGTCTTGCTTCAGCTTTTTCATAATCATAATGGACACGTGAAATGATAATGTTTTAAAGGATAATTTCTTCACAACGAAAACAGAGCATACCAAGAAAAAGAGAAGTAGAAGAAGCAAGTTATTACAAAAGGAGAAAGGAACAGAATAATACTCTTTACTTGTTATCTTATGAGAAAGATAGGAGAGTTTATATAGGATGATACAAAAAGTCTAACAGAAACTGAAACTTACCTACATAATTAAATAACTAATTCTGTTTTTATCTATTCCTTCATTAGCAAATACAAGCGAATAACGGGGCCTGTTGTTAATTGCTATAACATGTGTACTATATTAGCATCACATTGCGGTCGACAAAATAATAGTTACTTTACATCCTCACTAAGATTGAAGTTGTGAAACATTGATCACATCTCTTATTTCTAGTATTACATTACATGTTTCAGTAAACACCAATACAACATATAATGCTAACAAATAGCGCCACTTTTTTCTTTAACCGCTTAAAGGGCCACTTTTTTCTTTAACCGCTTAAAGGACAACGTAAGTTACAATAGTAACTAATCATATTCGTAGCATATGGGCTAAATATCAAAAGGTATCTATAGCTTAGTTCCTAAGCTGAAGGGAATCAATGAAGCAGCAAGACATTCTCGGAAAATATGTAGAGATTATTGCCTGTTCACTGGAAAATGTTCCCCAACACTATCATTCAAAAAAGGGTGCAGCCATGAAAATGTTTTTGAAAATTTACTTTGCAGCTTCAGTAAATTTCATAGGAAGTAAGACAATTGCTGCTGCTTCCTTGAACCGCCTTCTCCGTACAAATCGTTCCACTGTTTCAACTCATTCATTCCAGCCCCTTCAGCTGCAAAGCTTGCAGCAACCTGCACTCCGAGAAGTTAAGTCAGATAATGCAGTATATATTAAGATCACAACAAGACTAGACTATTCTACTCCAATAAAAAGCCAATTTTATCACACCATATTAATTTAAGTTGGCTTCGTTAACATCAGTCACAAAATTAGAAATGTTTTATTGAAAGGAAAATTTATATTTTATCTAAATACAAAGGTGCAATAAATGCTTTTTTGATAAAAAGATTTTCACTTTTAGTTGCTTAAAATCAGCACAAAGGTAGATATGAGGAAATTGTCCAACAGTTTGTACAATGAACAAGAGAGAAAGAGGAAACAGAAAGAAATTTATGATGCAATAATGAGGTAAGGGAGAAAAATAGAAGAAAAAACGTTGTATAAATTATTGTAGTTGGATCATTACTCTTGATGAAAAGTCCTATAAAATAATATTTTCTACATGGAAAATGATATATTTGTATAACAAAATTGTAGAACATTTTATACAATTTCATTTTTTGTGCTCATCTCTCCATTACATCATTTATTAATGATGGAACCAGATAGAAAAAAAAAATGTTGTCAACAGTATGAATTACTATGTTTGTATTGGTTATAGCAGCGTTACCTGATTCTTGGCCTCTTTGAAATCCTGCATGTTCAATGGCCTAAGGGTAATAACTCTTGTCTGTTTAACTTCCTCTTCTCCATGTAGAGCATCTCGAGTATTTCCTACAATAGATTGTCCTCCTTGACTATCTTGGACATCTTTATTGTGTCCCTTTGCAGCTTTCTGCTTTTTATCCTGCCCCCAGAAAAAAAAAAAGCATTCAGAGGTCAACATGATGAACACACAATCCGTAGGATTATATGAGATATTAAAATAAATTGTACAGTTGCCACTTACCAGACTCTTTAGCCTCTCTTGCTGAATTAGCTCTCTAACAGGCCGATAAGCAGCAGTTGTGCACAAGTTCTGCATTGGACAGTTTGTGACAGTGAATAAATAGGATGATTAAAAGCTCAGAGAACAAAAGGCACCTGTTACACGATGTTATTGTCCATTATGAACAATATAAAAGAATAGTAAAAACTAAAAACCTTAAGATCACTTCCAGTATATCCTTCTGTCATAGTTGCTAGTTCCTTAAAATCAAGTTCCTTGTCCACCTTTTCTTTTGCCAAAAGCGTCCTCATAATCTTTTCCCTGTTCTCCACAGATGGTAGTCCTACCATAATTCTGCATTAAGAAGATTCAAACGATAAAAAACATCACTCGACTTCAGGTTATTCAGATTTATTTCATACATACATATTATAGATAGCAATTTATGCCATAATTGCCTTGTGTATTGCATCTCATCTGCTTTCCCCCTCTCTGTAACACTATGAAAATATATAGTGCATTTTGGTTCCACATCCATGACCCACGTTTAAATAAAAAATCACATCAAAATTGATTTGAAAACAACTAATTGTCGCTTCCAGTGATCCACGCCCAAGCAAATATGCATGCTCATAGAGAAAGACTCCGATAAGTCAAGATGAAGGATGGATTTAAAGTCGAGAACTATCATAGATTTATACCTTCTTTCAAATCGCCTAATAATAGCTTCATCGAGGTCAAATGGCCTATTGGTTGCAGCAAGAACAAGGATTCTCTCCCCTTGTTTTGTCAAAAGTCCATCCCAATGGCTCATAAACTCATTCTTTATCTTCCTCATGGCTTCATGCTCCCCAACTCTGGTCCTTTGCCCAAGCATGCTATCAACCTCATCCACAAATATAATGGTAGGGGAGACCTTGGCTGCAAGTGTGAATAAAGCACGAACATTCTTCTCATCTTCACCAAACCATTTAGAAGTGATGGTAGACATGGATACATTAATGAAACTTGCTCCAGCCTCCTTTGCAATGGCCTTTGCCAGCATTGTCTTCCCGGTGCCGGGAGGTCCAAACAGCAATATTCCTCTACAAGGCTTTAGAAGGCCTCCAGTGAAAAGGTCTGGCCTTCGAAGAGGAAGCATTACTAGTTCTTGAAGGGATTCTTTGGTCTCATCTAAGGCGCCAATGTCAGAGAATGTGACATCAATCTCATTTGCTGGTATTACCTCAGGCCTTATTCGCTTCTCAAACTCATTATCCGGAGGAACTTCCTGAAAGTGAATAATGGAGTGTACATGAATAGACCTCTTACAAGTACTCTTTCAACTTGTTGCAGAAGAAATTTTGATTAAAAAGAAAGGCTTACAGTAGTTTTGGATGCAGTAACTGGTTTTTCACCATCTGCCTTTTCCGCTGAAGTTGATGTATCTGCTTCAGCCTTTTTTACAGGAGCAACATTTTCCGACTTCGCTTCTGGTTTCATAGCAGTTCCTTCCTCTCCTTGCATCTTTATGTCCATAAAGCGAGAAAGAGAGAGCATTGAAAGCATATCAGAACCTGGTAGGAATCGTTCACAACTTAATGTACAGATGAGTATGACAAGTAGTGCAAACCTCAGATTTTACGGCTTCCAATTTTGATTTTTCTTTTCCACTGGTTTTCCCCTTGTGGAATATACTCAAAGCATGGGACAAACTGTTTCACAAATGATAAAGTCAGTCGCCAAATTTAGATAGTTCATGCAATTAAGGTTTTAAGTCTCACCTATTGCTAGAAATAACGAGTTTCCCATTTCTGTATTCAGGGTCTTTGTTTTTCATCAAATGATAAGAAATTGCTGACACAATAATCTCTTCTATGTAGTTACTGAGAACCATGGTGTCGGCAACACAAATGGAATCCAGGTCATCACAATCAAGATCATTGGCTGCAAGCACTTCCATGATATGGTTTTTGTTATCCTGAACTTGTATCATCTTCATATCTTCTTCCAATTGAGACTTCCAGCTGACAAGATGTGATTCATCTTCTGGAGGCCTGATATCTATGTTGTATGGGAAGAGTGAATTAAGCTTCTCATCTTCGTCTTCATATTCATTACCAGAATCTAGAACTCGTGAACCAAGAATCAGAATTGGTCCAGATAATTTCTTCAACATCTTCTGGAACAGGTTATATATCCTTTGTGATTTATATAACAGCTTATCAACATCTCGCAAATATAGCACAATGGGATAGGTTTTTGAAACAAAAACCAGAACCTGCAAGTGAATTCCACGTATCAAATCGATTTATTTGTGAAGGAATATGATCTAAAAAAGCCATGTCCAATTTGATAATTCTCTGATGCCGAAATCTCGATATAATCAAAAGTAGTTTACCTTATAAAGAGTCTGTATAAGAAGCTTTTCATCAAAAGACCAGCTGGTTGTGCGCTTCAGAGGAGCTAATGGGAGAATTAAAAATATAAGAAATCATGGGAGAGAGCAATGGCAGAAGGAATATGAAAATAATTTTACTGTACGTTGTACTAGTTCTCACTAAGATACAGATGGTAACTCCAAATTAGAAAGCATGACTTTGATTTATGTGTAAATTAACTTAAAAATATGGGTTTGGTTGTGGATTCAAGAAAACATGATGAAAATGCACCCCTCTTCATTCTATTAAATTGATGCTTTGTAGCACTCCTTGGTTAGGTCCCTCTGCTTAAAAATAAATCTCCAGCAGATCATAACGAGTACATGAATAAAATCAAATTCCAATTAACCTGAATTTGTAGGATTGGTTTGCGAAGCAAGGCCACTTATATTTGAAGAGGAGGAAGCATTCCTACGGAGTGTTGGAGGATTACATGACGCTTCAGACCCCCTGCAAACCAAAAGGCTAATACTAAGCAATAATATAGTAAATAAATTGTTGTATTTGTTCTCATAGTCACAACATAGTTCATTTACTCTACTTACATTGATTGGAGGTCCACTCCACTGCTAGGCCTGTGCATTTTGCCTGCAATTAAATGCACCTGATCAGTGATGTAGATTTTAAATGCCTCCTTTTAACCTATGAAGCCATATTTGGTACCATATGGGTATGAAACGACACGGATATGAGGATGCAACAATTTCTTAAAAATTTAGAATACGATACGTTTTGCATGTTAATAAAATTTTTTAGAAAAAATTATGTAGATGTAAAATATTGGTAAAGAAAGAGACATTAAATTTTAACTATGATAATTATAATTTACAAAAAAGATATTTGTAATCATAACAAAAAAATACAGTTTTTGCACATATTAAATTAACTATATTAATAAAAGCATTCGGTAAAACTTAAATTAATATTAGTCCTATACAATACCTTATGATTCAAAAGCATCCTTACTAAATTATGGTCTAATGTTAATTATATCACTATCTTCTTCTCTTTTGTCATTGTCTAGTAAAAAACGTACTTTCATATTTTGTTTCATAAAGAAAGAACTCTTTCAATTCAAGTCTAGCACTATTATCAAGTGGTTGATGCATGCCTTTACTAATGTCTTACAACTTAGTCTTTTCTTTTTTATACATACTTCATATTTTATAAACAAAAGTTGAATGTTGAAATGCACATAAATCGCATATTTTTTTTTTTTTGAATATTTTTCAAATATGCATATAAAAGTATCTAATGAGTATCCAGAAAGTATTCGAGAATAAAAGATTAAAATAAATATAAAAGATTGAATTCTTTTCGGATACATAAATGGAAGTATCCAGGGAGTATCCTATCCGACATGGGTACTACAATGATAATTTTCCAATTTTGGTATATAGCTTTTAACAAATTGTCAACTACGGGCTAGCATTTTAGAGAATTAGTGTCCCGTGAAGAGAGTGAACCACTAGATATCATACTTGGCAAACATGAAACAAAACAGTTAAAGTAAAACTTATTCTTGAAACCAAAACAAGACTGAAAAAACTTGTATTAGAGATTGACAAAGCTTTTGGTTGATTATGAATCTAGCTCTTTGCCAAAGGTCAGAAGAGGTTATCACTTTATACCTTTAGGTTCCTCCCTTTGTGAAAAGATTGAAAATGACCCAAATAGATCAGATAGCCGCTCCAAGGTAGACTCTGAAGTGGATCTTCTGAAATACTACAATCAGAAACAGGAAAAAAAAAAAAAAAAA